GTATCACTATGGAAGTAGATTGCCCCATCTTCCTTCCGAGGAGTGGCTGGTGGGTTTGAACCGCCAACCTTCTGGTTAGCAGTCAAGTGCCTTAGGGTTGTCTTTATTGTCTTTTCTAGTTACCACCTCTTCTAACTTAGGGAAAGCCATGTGTGTCCTAGTAGAACTGTGCTCCGTGGGGTTTTAGCAGTGGCTAAGTGTTCAGTCTTGTCCAGCCCCACCTCGGCCATCTTGGTGGCTGCTTGTGGTTGGGGGCTGCCTCCCACCCAAGACAGGAAAATTAGGGCCACAGAGACAAAAAAGACACTAGAGTCAATCAGCTCTGGGCTCTTGGAATCATTATGGAAAGTAGAAATAGGTGCTGGGGTCCACGCAGAGTCTGAAGATGATCAGGCCAGGCAGGCGGAGGCTGGTCCATCCTCCCCAGCCACCGTGTGGCCGCATTGGCCAGGACCGGTGTCCATCACTTCTTGTTATTGTGTTAGGTGCTGTCAAGTCATCCCCGACTCATAGCAGCCCTGTGTCCATCGCTGCAGTGGCGATAATACTGAATTAGGCACAGCGCACAGACAATACCACAGAGTGTGCCCGCTGGCTGTCATTGATCCGGGTGATTCCGATAGCATTAGAGATTGGTGGGAAATGAACCATACCATTTTGTTTCTTTAGTAAAATTGGCCAGAGCCTGTGCAAAAAATGGGGGGGAAAAAAAAAAAAAGCAGTCAGGTGTAGATGAGTTATTTCTACTTCCTTGAAAGGAAACAGACTCACAGAGTTGGGGCATCAGGTATGTGGCCGGGGGTGGGGGCCGGCCGACCCCAGAGCCCGGCCATTGCACCGCTCTGCCCTGGTGTGCGATTTATCCAAACTTCAGAGGAAGCAGGGCATCACGAAGAAGGGAGATGTTTTGTGTAGCTTTTCAAGAGCAGGAACACATACCAAGCTGGACTTGCATGACCTTAAAGTCAAGTAATCAAAATCCACACAACGCCTCGCCTTTGGGGCTCTGTTTGTTTTA